CCTGGGGTTCAAGTGATTCTCCTGCCTCAGCCTCCCGAGTAGCTGGGATTACAGGCAAGCGCCACCCCGCCCAGCTAATTTTGTATTTTTAGTAAAGACAGGTTTATCCATGTTGGTCAGGCTGGTATCGAACTCCCGACCTCAGGAGATCTACCCACCTCGGCCTCCCAAAGTGCTGGGATTACAGGTGTGAGCCACTGCACTGGGCCATTTTGTTTTGTTTTTTTGAAACAGGGTCTCTGTTGCCCAGGCTGGAGTGCAGTGGGGCAATCGTGGAGCACTGCAGTCTCCACCTCCCAGGTTCAAGCAATTCTCGTGCCTTTGCCTCTTGAGTATCTGGGACTACAGGCGCAGGCCATCACGCCCGGCTAATTTTTTGTAGAGACAGGGTCACCATGTTGGCCAGGCTGTTCTCGAACTCCTGACCTCAAGTGATCCACCTGCCTCAACCTCCCTAAGTGTTGGAATTACAGGTGTGAGCCACTGGACCTGGCTCACAGCTGTGATTTGAACACAGATCTAGCCACAGTGGGGGTGGTGGTGGTGGCGGAAGCCCTTCCTGCTGTGGGTCCCTTTCCTCTGGGGAAGAGGGGGTAGGGGAAGTTGGGGCAGGGCTGGGCGCGAGTCAGCGGAACCCACTAGCTCGTTCCCTCTGTTCATTCATGTAGTCATGCATTTCTTGAGCACCTACTATCTGCCAGGCCCCAGAGTTCATGGCGAAGAGACTTGGGCCCATCTCTGCCAGAAATGAGACCATTGAAAAGTCAAGTAAAATAAAAGAATGACATGGAAATAAAAAATTGTAAGTTGTGCTAAATGCCAGATAGAGTTGGGAGGTGTTCAAGGAGGGACTCTGGGTAGGGCATGGTGGCTCACTCCTGCAATCCCAGAACTTTGGGAAGCTGAGGCAGACGGATTGCTTGAGCCCAGGAGTTAGAGACCAATCTGGGCAACACAGCAAGATCCCCATCTATCAAAAAATTTAAAAATTAGCTGGGGGTGGTGGTGTGTCTCAGCTACTTGGGAAGATGAGGTGAGAGGATCGCCTGGGAGTTCAAGGCTGCAGTGAACTATTATCATGGTACTGTACTCCAGCCTGGACCACAGAAAAAAAATAAAAACAAGGGACTGAAGCTGAGGGAAACAGTCCAGGTGTTCCCCAGGAAGAAGGGAGCTGGAGTGTTGGAGTAAGGTCAGTAAGCTCATCTGCCTGGAACAGGGAGAGAGGAAGGGAGAGGAGGAGAAAGAGGTAAGGGGGAAATCAAGAGGGGACTGCACGGGGCCTGGGGGTGGCTGCGATTTGGGAAATATGGGGAAATGGAGTGTATAAGGAAATCCTAATCCTGCCTACCTGCAGATGAGCCCCACATAGCTGGTCTTCTGGTGAGTGTCCCCATGCCCAGTCCCTGCTCAGTCTCAATGGCTTTTTGGTGCCCTGGGGATGCAGTGCCAGCTCTATCTTCACTCCAAATACGGTACGGCCCTGTCCCCCAGTTTTGCAGATGAGGAAACCGAGGCTAAAAGAGGGGCAGTGCCTAGCCTTCAGTCCTGGCTGGACCATATCAGAGTGGAAGCAGAAAACCTAGATCCAGGGGCTGGGCGTGGGTGGCTCACACCAGTCATCCCAGCACTTCTGGAGGCTGAGGTGGGCCAATCACTTGAGGTCAGGAGTCTGAGACTGGGCTGGCCAACATAGTAAAACCCCACCTGTACTAAAAATACAAAAATTAGCCCGACATGGGTGGCTTTCACCTGCAGTCCTAGCTATTCAGCAGACTGGGTCAGGAGAACCACTTGAACCCGAAAAATGGAGGTTGCAGTGAGCCAAGATCGCACCACTGCCCTCCAGCCTAGGCAACAGAGCAAGACTGTCTCAAAAAACAAACAAAAAACAACCTAGCAGCCGGGTGCGGTGGCTCACGCCTGTAATCCCAACGCTTTGGGAGGCCGAGGTGGGCGGATCATCTGAGGTCAGGAGTTCAAGACCAGCCTGGCCAACATGGTATAGCCCGGTCTCTACTAATAATACAAAAATTAGCCGGGTGTGGTGGTGGATGCCTGTAATTCCAGCTACTGGGGAGGCTGAGGCAGAAGAATCGCTTGAACCCAGGAGGCAGAGGTTGCAGTGAGCCGAGATCGCACTACTGCAGTCCAACCTGGGCAACAAGAGCGAAACTGTCTCCAAAAGAAACAAACAAAAACAGAAAGAAAGAAAAAGAGAAAAAAGAAAACCTAGCCCCTCTGGTTTAGTCGAAGGGTGCCGCTCCTGACTGGGGCCATGCCTCGGGCTCCCTACCTGGAAAATGAGGGCAGGAACCCAGCCTCCGGGCGAGTGGGCGTGGCTTGCGAGTGGGCGTGGCTGGAGGACTAAGCCCAGGGCCTTTCCTAGGCTCCCACAACATTTAGCTAAAATCCACGCCCTCACCCCGCCTTCCCGCCCAGTCGCACCGCACTACCCTTTCTGTTCATGACCTGCCACGCTGGCTCCTACCTCCGAGGCTTTGCACACTCCTGGCACTTTTCCCCTCTTCAAGACTTGCGTAAAATGTCACCCCCTGTCCTCCTCTCAAGGTGCTTTATGTTTCTGTCTGGATAGCTCCTGCCACATCTCCAGGCCCCAGAGCATAGCCCATGTCCTCTGTCCTCCGATGAATCTGTGGGAGCAGATGGGGTCAGGGGTCTCTGCCTGCCTCATGGCCACAGACCCAAGGCTCGATTCAAAGGGGACGAGGTGTCAGGGACGAGGGGTGTCCCATTTTCTCAGCTGGAGAAGCTATTTGAGACCACGACCCAGGACCGTCCCTTGGATCTGCCCCAGGTGCACTGAGGAGCCTGTGCCCAATCCAGGGAAGCAGAGCCTCACCAGGGGCCAAGAGCCAAGTACAGGAGACAGTGCCCCACAAGAATGTTTCTCAGGCTAGGCGAGAAACACCTGTAGCGAGCCTGTGGCCCCAGCTACGTGGTAGCTTGAGGTGGAAGGATAGCCCAAGCCCGAGTTTGAGGCTGCAGCGAGTGAGCTATGATTGTGCTGTTGCGCTCTAGCCTAGGCAACGGTGACAGCTTATCTCAAAAATAAAAAAGTGGCCAGGCGCGGTGGCTCACGCCTGTACTCCTGGCACTTTGGGAGGCCGGGGCAAGTGGATCACTTGAGATCAGGAGTTCGAACCAGCCTGGCCAATGTGGTGAAATCTCGTCTCTACTAAAAATACAAAAATTAGCTGGGCATGGTGGCAGCACCTGTAATCTCAGCTACTTGGGAGGCTGAGGCAGGAGAATCGCTAGAACCCAGGAGGTGGAGGTTGCAGTGAGCCGAGATCATGCTACTGCACTCCAGCATGGGCAACGAATGAAACTCCATCACAAAAAAAAAAAAAAAAAAAAAAAAAAAAAAAAAAAAAAAAAAAAAAAAAAAAAAAAAGAAAAGAAAAATTATCCTGGTCAGTATTGGGGCCTGGAACACCAGTCTAGATGTGTCACAGATGGAGTGGGACAGGCTGGGGTTGCTTCTACCATATCTTGTACCAGCCTTGTGCCCATAACATTAGGCACTTGGGAGCTGTGGGGAAGGCATCAGCTCCCAGGCCAGAGGCAGGGATGCTTCAAAGGCAAGAAACAAGGCAGGCGTGGTGACTCACACCTGCAATCCCAGCACTTTGGGAGGCCAAGGTAGGAGGATTGCTTGAGTCTAGGAGTTTGAGACCAGCCATGGCAACATGGCAAAAATGTGTCCACAAAAAAATATGAAAATTAGCTGGGTGTCGTGGTACATGCCTGTAGTCCCAGCTACTGAGGCCAAGATGGGAGGATTACCTGAGTCTAGGGAGGTTGAGGCTGCAGTGAGCTGAGGTCAAACCACTGCACTCCAGCCTGGGTAACAGAGACCCTGCCTCAAATAAATAGTACCTAAGAAAACAGGGTCACGTTTTATGTACATTAGAATTCACCAAAATGATCTTAGGTCTCACCTTATGAATAAAACTTGAAAATATCAACACCTGAAAACACATTTTTGCCAGGAAGTCGCTCATTCTGGTTGGTGACTGTGCTTAGATCACACATCTGTAGTACCTCATCCTGCAACAAAGACATCATCGAGGTCTCAAGCCTGAAAATCGTCCCAGGAAAACCCATCACTCTGGTGTGAAGGCTGATGGGACTAAGATGAGCAAATCCCACTGAGGTATCTTTTTGAGACGGAGTCACCCGTCACCCGTCACCCAGGCTGTAGTGCAATGGTGTGATCTCGGCTCACTGCAACCTCCGCCTCCCAGGTTCAAACGATTCTCCTGCCTCGCCTCCCAAGTAGCTGGGATTACAGGCATGTGCTACCACACCCAGCTAATTTGTGTATTAGTAGAGGCGGGGCTTCACCATGTTGGCCAGGCTGGTATTGAACGCCTGACCTCAGGTGATCCGCCCGACTCTGCCTCTCAAAGTGCTGGGATTGTAGGAGTGAGTCACCGCACCCAGCCCCCACTGAGATTCTCATTCCCCTCTCCCAGCCCATGGGATAAGTTGGCCACAAAGCTCGAAAGAGAGGCCGTGGGGACG